CGAGTTAAAAAGAATCATCGATATTATTAACTATATAAATATTGATCTGCATAAAATGGATATTGCATGTTAATGTATTAAAATTGCTTAATAAGATATTCCTCATCTCTCTACACAGTTCTATTTTTTTGGAGGAAATGTTCTGCGAATACAATGAATATAAAATGTACAAATATTCTCGTACAAAAACTTATCGCGGAAGTGGATTTACACAGGATATCCTGTTTGTGTACACATGGAAATTGGAAATAAAACTGTAGCGCGGTACACAACGATTTTTATATGCGTATTCTTTGGAAAGGACGTGTAAGGTTTCAATTGCAAATAAACGAAATAGTGATGGTGTTAGGAATAGAACGTAAAGTGAGAGTTTTGTTACGAATTCTATGTCTGCAATAATAGTTTTTTTTCCGCTTTTCAAAATATTTTATATTTTATATTTATATTTTTACAATAAAAGTCAAATTATGATTTATTGACTGAAGTATAAGCAAGTCATTTATTTGAGCTGTAAATAATTCTAAACAATGAAATAATCTTGATAAATTTGCCAAGATGTATGTTTTTGTATTATTTTTTTTAGATATATCTCAAGTCAAATTCATTTTTCTATTAATATTTATATTATATTATTCATATCATTTTATATTAATATTATTATTTATAATAATTAAAAATATTATTTACAGTTATCCATTAATAATTTAATTATTTTTAATTTAATTATTAAACTTTAATTATATAAAGAGTTTAATTTAGTTCTAAATAAAATGAATTTATTATGCATAATAAAATATATTATTTTTCTCAACTATTATTATTACAAGATATAATTATGTATAAAAATCTAGATATAAGAAAACTAGATTTTTAACATTCTAATTTTATTTTCTCAAGAAAAATTATGTTTCTATATTATTTTGTACACATCGTCGATTGAAAATGCAAGTTCTTGCATATGTGCACAGATTATCATGTAGTTATATCGCATGACTGTCCGCAGACCACATAATTTTCTGTGCGCTATGTTAGTTCCTCCTTCAGTACGAAACATCAAGTACTCAGTAATTAAATGCAATTGCTCTTTCCTACGCAACTACGAATCGGGATTATAATTTAATTAAATTTGGAATTCGGATGACTTCAATATCACAATTCAATTATCGAAAACTTATTGCAAATTTTCTCACTGCAGTTTCATCATCAATTTATATATTTAACAAGCAATATGTATAAAGACTAATACAGAGTGTGATCAGTAACTAATACAGCTTTCGAATGTAATTCTATATCAATGTTGCAAAGTAATTATTCAGAATAGTAAACTTTAAATGAAATCTAAAATGGACTAAATGTCGATATCAAATCAAGACGTGGTTAAATTTATAGTACCGCAAGATACCGCAAACTATATCTACATAAAGTTTAATTTCAACGTCAGTCGTCTTGTCGCTACCAGACTTTTCGATATATATAATCTTGTATATAATATATGCAAATAAAGCATTGTAAAATCTTGTTTTCGTACAAAAGCAAATTAAATTTATAAAATTAAAGTTATGATAAATATAACATAAAAAATCGATGTTTATAAAGTGTTTCAAAAATAATTTACAAGTCAAAAAATTGATTTCTTTAAAATCTTTTTATATAATAAGGGATATAATATAGAATATTACATATAATATAAGATTTAGATGCATTTTCATATCTATTGTGTGAT